GGAGTGGTTGTAGTGTGACATGCGGAGAAGGGGTGCGAGAGCGTGTTCGTGAATGTCTGCTGCCCTCTAGTGGTGGGATGCAATGCACTGGCATGGTTAGAGAGCAGTCACACTGTTCACTGGAAGATTGCACTGGTAAGCATTTTACTGTTTTTATCTATTTATTTTTTTGTTTTCAGAACCAATTATTTCAGAATAAACTCCATTCTGTTTTTTCTTTATGTAGAGGTGCTTCCACCTCCACCACTCACCCCTCCGCCAGCTGTGAGCTCACCCCTAACTGGGAATCTAGTGGTAGTGGCTGGGATCTCCCTGTGCCTGGCTGTGATCCTGGCCACTATCTTTATCACAGTGTGGAGAAAACTCTGCCGTGCTCCAAAGTGCAGCTCCATGCGCCGTGGCTCTCTGCACTCTCCCAGCGGTCGGAAGAACTCTGATGAGGCTTCTATCTGTGGTCACAGCATGCAGAGACCCAGTTTCTCAGAAAGTCTCCAGGCAGCTCCCCTCCAGAAGGGACTTACCTTGCCTGCAAAGCAGGGACCTTCAGACCGAGGTGTGTTGGCTCGTCAACAGAGCATGTCCCTTCCTCTTCCTCTTTCTCAAGACCCAGAGAGGATGTCTCCTTCTGGACAAAAGATCCTTCCACCTATTTTTGGCTACCACTTGGCTCAACAGCAGCTCAAGGAGATGAAGAAGAAGGGCTTAAAAGAGGCCACTCAAGTCTACCATGTGTCCCAGAGTCCAGTCGACGACACCATGCTAGAGGCAATGGCTTCAACCCCTTCTGGTCTAACTCCAGTGCCCCAAGAACTTGACAGCCCAGAAGAGTCAAGCAGCAGTCACTTTCGCATAAGGTCTCCCTTTCCAGAACCCATGTGGCCTCCCAAAAACAATGCTTTAACTGAAAGACAAAACGTGGACTTGTTGCTGAGTCCCCCGAAGTCTTCATTCAGTGCCAGCTCTCATCGTCTTGAGCGTACAGCAGACTGGGTGGAGATGGTAGAACGCAGTAGAGTGCCATACTCCAAGAATCCCAACTTCAGGAGAACTTCAAGCTTCCACGAGAACAACCAGAATCAGCTGCCCCCGTCCCGACCCTACCGAGAAAGAAGCATGACCCAGGTGACTCCTCGCCAGCTATTAGAGGGGAGCTGTAGAAGCAGACCCTGGGAGCATACACTTCCTGAACTTGAGGTCTGGTCTTGTTCCAGTCCTAGAGTAACTGATAGCTCAGTGGACCACAGGAGAAGACCATGGGTTGACACTCCCCCATCTCAGTCAAACTCGAAAGATTCAGTTCCAGTGACACCAACAAAGGAGCCCTTGGTAGACCTTCATCGCGTAGCTCGAAGCCCATCTTCGGCACTGGACCGAGCTGAACGGGCAGAACAGAACTGGAGCAGAAGAGGTCCTTCGCCCATCCAGAGGAACATACTAGCCAGGAAGCTACGAGAGGCTAATTCATCAACCTGCCAAAGGCAACGCAGTTCCACATTTTCTACCTCAGAGCAGGGCAGGGGACGCTGTCGTAGCCTTCCTCTCTCTGCGGACTACAGCAACTCCCCATATAGTCTCACAGAGTCAGAGCAGCACATGATGGACATTTCTGGATACTTGGGTGAGGATGATGGAGTAGAGGTTCTGACTATTCATAAACTTACCTGATCAAACCTGCGTTTCTGGGAGGTTCCTACACTCTGCTGAAGCAAACTCAAACTTCAAAATAAAAGACTTAATAGAATGAAGCACTTGTTTTTAATAGTAGGTTATTTTTGCTCCATGTGGACGTGCATATCAGATTTTGTTAGCTCTTTGTATTATATTAATGTTTTCGAGCCTTGAAATTAAATCTATGATCAATTTTATTTTTATTTATGGGGTTTTGACTATTAATTTGAAAAGCCATTTTGAACTTATGCAAACCACTGTCATGGACTTTATACAGTATCCATATCACAAGAATATTTTGTACATATTTGGATTTGTTTGTACACTGGAAAATGTAAATTCTCAGGTTTTTGGAGAACAGGTGAAAATATACATACAGCACATTTCTTTAATGAATGTTTGTTTTATTGTCAACCATGTTAAAGATACACTATGTAAGATAAAAAATAGTTTGATACAAAATCTCAATCAAGACTTTCAGTATGTTTGGATGTTGCTTTATTATGGAATGCATACTGTATGCTATTGCATGCAATGTTGTATATTTAGCATTTTACACAAATAATAATAAGCATATAATTTTACTTAATATCAAATTGTAATTGTAATGTAAGCCAATGTATTTATTCAGTTAACCAAGATAAGTCTTTTCTTTTGTCCCTACAAGATCCTTTCTTATTTTTGGCACATACCTTGTAAATCTTATAGTTAATACACTGTAAAATACACAAATGTTGTGCTACTCAATAGGTCCTACTCCACTCCCTAAGTTGTCCATGTAGGAGCTGGGCCGGACCTTCATGGCTGTGCGTCTGAGAGAGTACCACAGTCCTCTCCAGGTGCCCCAGACCACACCATTATCATGCTTGGCTTTGTACTCTCCACCTCTGTAAAATCTCCCATTAAGATTGGCAGCATGACACCTATAAGTAAGCAACAGGTAACATAAGATTCTGTGTTAAGTGTACAAAAAAGCTATGCCCATAAAATTCAGAAAGCCCTCAGCATCACCTGTTATACCACCAGCCCCCCCTGTTCTCAACAGCACAGTTTCCTTGCAGGTAGCGATCGTGATCCTGGTCCCGGGTGCTGAATTGCATGCCGTTATGAGAGGCTGACCACTGCTCCACCATATTGGCCCCTCCGGACAGTGCATCTCCTGCCTGACCACTGTACATCCCGTAGTGCAGCCTGTACTTATCCTGAGGATAGATGAGGAATGATGTGAGCAAAGAGGAATTTGATTGAATAGGAGACATTAAATTGTTAAAGGTAGGAACCAAAAAAAACAACATACTTTTTCATCTGACACTCTGAAGTTGTCGTACATGGCATAGGATCTCTCTCCTTTCCAGTCCATCAGTTCAATTTTCATCACATTTTCACCTAAAGAGGATTTTAATTGTATTATTGTAGAGCAGAAAAGCAGAGTGATCAGCTTATATACAAATCTTACCATCATTGAGCAGGGCATGAATATGATCATTCCCAAGCCAGAATTCATCTTTGCTTGACTGAAAATCACCAAATCCATTTTTATAATCTTCCCACTTTCTGTGAATAGAAATGCCAATTTGATCATACTGATCTTTATGTGGGTCTGAATGTAAGAATATAAACTTTCCGCAAACATATTCATTAGTACAAAGACAGTAGACTTACCTGTCAAAATCAACTTTCCCACTGATCCGTTTCTGAATCACAGTCCAGCCCCCACCATCTTCCATCTCACAGTACACAAGGAATGGTTCAACTGACAGTTTGGGTTTAATCTTGTAGAATCCGCTCCCTGGTTTTAGTCTGTCATATAACTCCGAACAATCTAACAGACATAAATTATAGAAAAACAAAATGATTTAACTATTTTGAGAAACTCTGTTTTATCACAATGTACTTTTCTTTTCCTTTTGTATGTCAGTTTAACCCCAGCAATAACACAGTTAAAATTCAAGAAATACAATAAAATAAAAAACTTAAATAGACTTGAGACCCCAGATAGATTAAAAAACTGATTTTAAAACATTTCAAAATTTGTTCATAATCAGTTATCATAAAATTATGAAAAGGTTTAACAAAGTGCACAGGTTTCTTATAAAAGTATAAACATTACCTTTGTCATGAACTAATAATGAGCCTCCAGTACTTGGTAGGGTGGGTGAAGGTTCAGTGTTGTTTTCAGGGGTCTTCTTGTGTTCCAGTGATAGTTCCAGGTTGGGAATCGGCTTGAAGCGTCGGTGATTACGCAGATGCATAACTTTCCATTCTCCAATCAGCAATTTATTATTCAGCTTACGAATCTCTTCCTTCAGCTTCAACACTTCAGATACTTGGCATTCTTCCTCTGCCTCGATAAACCAAAGGCAGCATTATTCTTCTGTTTTTGGCTCTTTTTCTATAGGCTGTTTTTCTATGTAATGTCTAGATACTGTAGAAATTCTAGTGAAACTTACTGAGATTTGAAGAAATGTGAGCGCATGAAACACCAAGATAAACACCAGCTGTGACATGACTATCTAATATTCTTTACATGAAAATGGAGAAATGTGTTAATCTTGTCCAAGAATACAAACACATAAAATGTAGCAAACATGAGCTTCCATTTAATTTGCATTCAACACTGTGAAATGTTTAAATGCAAGTAGAAACATAAGCAATGCAGTCATATATTCTTTTGAAATATCAATAAAGGTTTATTAAATATAAGTCTATACTTACAGAACGTGGTGTTCTTACCCTTCTCCAGATGAAGTGTCAATGAAATGCCCTCCAGACTTTCATTTCTAATATTTATAGGCACTGCTGGTTACGCATGGTCCACATTATCAGTCCACTGGGTCAGAAAGATGCTTCATCTTCCCCCATTCCACACATACCAGAAGCAACAACGTAAAATTGTTTGCTTTATAATTTATGTGGAATTTCTGTTCCACATAAAACAAACAAAACCTTTAGTATTATGATTAGCAATATAAGTAAGTAGGCTACACCATCCCTACTGGATAGCCTACTTAGGATAGGCAGCTAATTTTGCTTTTTCGTCTTTACATTTAAAATTTCTATAGGCTATTTGTGTTTTACACCGAAAATAATGTCATTTAGGCCAACGTGTTTGAAAAGGTGTGAGGAAATTAAGTAGCCTAAAGAATTTTATTTTGCGTGAACTGTTCCTTAATACAGACGACTTTTAGATTTTATTCAAATCATTACTTCGTTATTTTATGAAGCAGTTTTCACAAAAAAGGTCTCCACAAGGATTTACAATTACTGAGGAGATGGAGTAGGCTATTTGGCCCCCAAGAAAACATAATAAAACTTGTATCGCGCGCGCAAACGCACTTTCATTACAACCATATTTTAATAACACTACGAAGTATAATACCTCAGTGAATTTAAGGACCGCATTTGTTTTGTTATCACTGTTCCCATTCGCCCCCATTCCCATTTTGTGTGCATGTTAACTTAAGCGCATGAGGAAGTTCAAAACCGCTACGTCTGCAGCAGGAGTGAAGAAGGGGGCGTTGTGAATGTGGTTGTGGATGGAAGACAGAAGAAAATTACTGCTAACCTTTGAACCTCCTTCCTTTGTTATCACAAAAAATCACGGGACAGTCACCGCTCGTAAAGACAGTCATGGAGACCTGACACAGAAAGCCTGTTTGAGGAACATGTGATTGTTCAGAGAGCAGAAAAGCTGCCTGCGAGTCGAGCAAACGAAAGAAAACGGTTTTCCCGGATGTGCTTTCTGACTGGTTTGTATCGGTTTTCCCAAAGCTGGCATTCCTTTGCTATGATCTTGTTCAGACTGAAACAAACCAATGATTTCTTGTTGTATTTCTTAATGCAGATATTTAATTTCGAGATTCATACTTGATTGCGAAACTTTCTGGTACAGAAAGTAACTTTCCGGATTAGTAATCCATGGGATATTAATCAGAAAATCTTTTAATCCACATCAGAAAGCTTGAATTTGGACCCTCTGATGATTTATTGGTCTAAAGTAAGTATATATTTTGTCATGTTTGAGTTTGTTAGTTCTGCTTTATTTTTGACAGCTATCATAACTCAAACTATCATCACATATAAAGAGAGTATATACTCTTTAAATAAACTGCAGTTACATTTTTTTTTTTAATATATATATATATATATGACGAGTTCAGATGCAAACGCCTCTAAGTGCCATTTGAAATTTTCTTCTACAATGAGCATTTTTTTATCAGGCTCCTATGTGTAGGTTCAGTAATTTCACTTTAATGCCAATGAATATGTTTTCATTGCTATTAAGTTGAAATAACAACATAAACATAGGAGTCTGAGAAAAATGCTAGTTTTAGAAGAAAATTTCAGACGGCACTTAGAGGGTTTCGCATCCGAACTCTTCACATGTAATAATTTTTTTTTCAGAGAGAAACGTAAAACTTTCCAATAAAAATGACATCAGTGCATTTCAACCCTGGGTTAGATTCCAAGGAAGTTAATGGGTAAGTGAATAACATTCAAATGAAGTTACTAACACTTCACCAGCATCATGACCTTTACTCCCCCACCTTTAAAGGTCCCATGTTGTCAAAACTGAAATTTCTTGGCTTTTTTCATGATAACTGAGGTCTAGGTGCTATGTAACTACCATATAAGTTTCAAAACAGTCAGTCCACAGTAAAATTCACACAGCCTGCTTAAAGTAGCTGTGATTTTTCACGAACTGTTGTGACTTCCGTAAAAAGTTGACGTCAGAACTACACAGTCACCGCCTTCAGTCACCACCCCGAGCACCGCCCACCGTCCCACTCTCCTTTTGCCGAAAATATTAACTTTAAACACGAAACCAGATCGGCCGACCTGTAACGTTACACTCTCACTCAAAGGATGGACGATCTGACAGGATTGTTACTATGAGGTGGATCACATCTAACGTGTATAGTAAAGACAAACTCACCGTGTCTATCTAGTCATGATGAAGATGTATATACATTTCAATTTCAGCAGGCAACTATTTTTACAGCTACATTATTGTTCCAGCCACAATTAATCACAACAATGTATATACAATTACAAATGATTATATATAAATCATCAGTTTGTTGTTTTATACACTGCACACAGACATTATTTCATACACGACATAATCGTGAGATGCAAGAAACATAGACATATGGCAAGAAATCTGTAGACGCGCCCATAACAACAA